AAACTGCACATCGTGCAATGGGCTTGAGAGCCTAGGGACTGCTGGTGGCATAAGCGTGGCATTGGCAGAACCTCCGCCCTGAACTCTAGAATGCATGAAAAGGGTTTTGTGCCTAATACCTCTGTATCCTTGCCTTTTTAAGGGTCTCTAAGGAGGAAATTGGGGGTTTCTCAAAATTAGGGGTACCTTTTGGGGGTCCCTATAATAAGGGCAATGGTATATTGGGTCTATATTGGGGTACCCTAATTTTGGGAAACTACCAATTGTACTCTAGGTACCCTCGCCTTCTCCGTCGCTATTGGTAGCTCCGGGTCGACAAAGCTCCGTGAGGAGCTCGCGTCCGAGGGTGCGTACCATGCCAACCTCTCGAAAGAATAATAATGATGGTAATAGTAATAGTAATAGTAATAATAATAATAGTAATAATATTAGTAGTAGTAGTAATAGTAACTCCTAGCACTAAGGCTCAACATGGCCCAATGTAGGTACTATCTTTAGACTTTAGGGCCCAGAGTAGGTATTATTTGTATACTTGGATTCCTAGGGTCAGGCTTAAGGTTGAGAGTGCATGGTCAGGGTTTACGGTTTCGGGCTTCGATTGGGGTTTGTATGAGCTAAGGTCTAAACTCCTGATATACCCCTTATATAATACTCTCCGTTCAGACTGTAGCTCATATGGCCCTAATGAATCCTAATGATCGGTAGCTAGGCCTGATTGGGGTAGCTGCAGGGTCTACGTAGAAATGGGCCCTGGGTCATTCCACCTGCTGGCAACTATCCATAAGGGCACTTTGGTAAGGGGCTGCTATAGCTCAATAGTAACTATAGTACAGGTTTTGGGTCAGTATAATCATTAGGCACTCGGACCCTTAGGGATCACCTTTTGCAGAAAATGGTGCTGTGAGGGGGCATGGCCCCACATTCGACCACATTGAAGGGTAGTTGGGGGGGTTACCCTAAACCCTGAATGGGGTGGAGACCGTCCAAGCGCTCGATTGTTCCGTGTGCTTTCGTGCACAGATAGCTACCAAATGAGGGCCCCGTTGAAGGCGATATAGGGATATACGCAACCCCAAGGGTCCAAGTACCCAATAATTAGGTACTTGGGTTCTGGGCAATAGTAAATATTGTACAAGTTTTGGGTAGGTATATGATAATTAGGTACTTGGACCCACAGGCTTAGGCTATGTAAAACAAATATAGGGTTATGCAAGTTTCGGCTTCAAGTACCCCATATTCAGTCCCTTGCCCCAATCTCTGTAGTTGTTCTGAATACCCAAAACTCCAAATACTTAATCATTGGGTGCTTGGGCCCTAAACCCTATACCTGATACATCCCTATATGAGCCATTGTCTAAACTCCTAGTTTCCCACCTCCTAAGACTGTTTTTGGGGGATTTATATCTAGGTTGGCTCAATCCCTCACCCGGTAAGGAAGACCACAAGGGACTATTGTAGGTACATTAAACCCCGATTAACTCCATATAGAAGAGCTAATACTATACGGGGGAAGGACCTAATATGTAGGTTTCTGAGTCTAATTGATTGAAAGTCACAACGAAGTCTCTTGCTACTCCCAGTAGCCTAAAAGATCCCTCCCCCTCCGTGGGATTAAATCCCGGCTGAACCCTAAACCCTGAACATCCCTGAACCCTAAACCCTGAACCCTAAACCCTAAATCCGGAACCCTAAACCCTAAACCCGGAACCCTAACCCCTGAACCCTACAGTAAATGATTGAGATTCCGTCATCCCTTTGCCTGCCTTGTGAGCCTTCACAGACTCCCCAGACCTCAAGAAACGCTCTATGGCTAGTGCTCGGAGGGTCATTTGAGCCATTGTCTAAACTCCTAGTATGCCCCTGCATAACCCCTATAGTAGTCCCCTATATTATCCCCTATATAACCCCCCTTTAAGGAGTTTAGACTAGAGCTCATTTGGGGCCGAAACACATGGAATAAGGCTTTGGGTGGCTTGGGTAAGAAGGGAATTTTGCAGGAGTATGAGGGAATCATATCAATCTCAAATCGTCCATGAGCTAATTGAGAAGAGGGTCCCCAACGTAAAGATTCGAGTAGGACTACGATATCAGGTCTGCCTGCGGAAATCGAGGAGTTGATCCACAACATCTTGGCATCGACGTTCATAGCAGCACTCGATGTTGCGCTGAATATATCAGTTCGCAATAGTACCGACATACTATGACATTAACAACGACCACGCACAAACATGATAATCATGGGATATGGTCAAAGAGTATGGGCCAACGATACGTGAAGACTGATACAGTCTCTAGCAACACCCAAGGAGTCCATGTAGGCATGCAGTATATACTTAGGGCCCAAAACGGGTTGCTATGTAGGTGGGTTGGGGGGCACAGGTATACGCTGTATGCGTTGTGGCTACGGGGGGATTATATTCACTTGAAAGCCCGGTGTGTGCAGAGACTTCAAAACATCGACAAATGTTATCCAGATGTTGCTAAGGTCCGCTTGTAGCCAACCGCCATCTTTACACGCGGCAGAAGCACTGAAAGAGCCTGAAGGGTCAGATACCTGCGCGGCACTTTTTATTGGGACCAAAACCGGTTCCTATAAGCTTCATTGGGCTGAATTGCATACATCATGATATAGCACTATAACCCTATCTATCTATCTATCTATCTATCTATACTACGTATCCCTGCAACCCCCCGAAAGGGACCCTTAGGGTCCCCATATTTGTCTTAGGTAATTACGCAACACATAGGCACATGGAACCTCTGAAAGTTCCTGAATCCAAGGCCTCTACTTTAAGCCTGCCGGGCGGCGAAAGCGTCTCCACTTGGTCGAAATTCGCCGAAGCCGCCATCCACTCGCACCACTCGGCAAAGGTGCTAGGACTCCTGCAGGTTTAAGGGTCTTAGGGTTTAGGTTTCTAAGGTTTTAGGCTTTTGGGTTGAGGGTTTGAACCGTTTAGGCTTTAGGGTTTTAAGGATTCAGGCTTTAGGGTCCTGATGGTTTAGGGCTTAAGGTTCTTAGGGTTCTAAGGGGTTCTTAGGCTTTACATAGAGTTCTAAGGGCTGAGGGCTTAAGGTTGGAGCTATGAGCTAGAACTCCTGAAGCCTTTCCCAAAGGATCAGAAGTGCCTGTATAGGATTAATGGTTTACGGTTTTATAGGGTTTAGGGTTGAGGGGTATACCCCTAAACCCGAAAACCCTAATTGAAGGTAGGGCGGCGTTTACTCTAGGACTGTGTAGTATAGTTCGGGTAAGCATCCTCAATATAGGCACCTAGGTTCCTCTGAGCCCTAAACCCTGAACCCTGGGTTTAGGGTTCGAGGGCGTAGGGTTGCTAGGATTTTCTTTCAAGGTTGGAACTAAGGGGGGCCCCAGTATGGGCCCTGAATTCTGGGGTCCATATATACCTACCATATGGAAGTTTCCCTAAACTGCTGTTCCCAACATGGGGGAAATGTATATAGGGCCCCGTATTATAATAGGAACCCTAATATAGGACCCCGTATTGACAGTAATTTAGGACAATCCCCATATAGGGTTTAGCGTTTAGGGTGTATACTCTAGCAAACCTACACAACCAACTCAGGGCCTGTAGTTAGGACCTAGGAACAGGGAGAGTTAGGACCTTACAGAGGACTCCTGAGTGTCCAAGTACGCGATAATTAGGTACTTGGGATTTGGGTACCAGTCATTGTAGTACAGGTTTTGGGAAAATGTATGAGCTATAGTCTAAACT